ATTATACACTACCAGAGATATGTTATCATTTTTACAACTACCATAGTGAGTGGGATGACTATGTATGCACTTTTTACAGTAAGAAAAAAATCTTTATCTAGTGAAAAAATGGGAAGAATAAGTGTGTGTGTGTGTGTGTGTGTGTGTGTGTGTGTGTGTGTGTTTAGCGGGGGGAGAGTGTTTGCAAAAGCCACAGCCAGCAGAACATCACCATCCTTCAGTAGGCGTTATTCATGTCAGTTCTACAGATATAGATTTGCCACACTATTTCTAGGACATTTTCTGTGATACATGTATAGCAGGTGGCAAGTGCTCATTAAACATTTCTTCAGGTGCCCTCCACATTCTTATTTAAGACTACTAGTGCTTTAACATTAACCACTCATCAGACAATAGGAATCATCCACTGGATTTGGAGAAGAAAAGGTCAGATGAACAAGTCTGAAGCAACAATAAATAAAAGTTGACAAACATTATCCACGGATATTTTTCTGGTTGTTTTCTCTAGAATAACAGTATATTTGCTAGGATTAAGGCTATTCTGCAGGTTGCTAAGAACTGTAAAAACTGGTAAATCTTTCCAAAACATAAGAAGAAAGGGATTGTTCCTAATCTTAAAAGTAGAACTGCCAACAGAATCACATGCTTATACTTTTTTTCAGACCATACAAATTGTATCAAAGTAGTTGTAACTATTTATACAGATAACATATACATAGCTGCAAAGAAGTTACCTACCTAGTATATTCATTACTTCTTCTTCGGAAACATTCTCAAATGTAATTCGCTTTTAAAAGTTCTAACAAAGCAAACAGCAAAAGACTGGCCCAAGGATAACAGCTGGCATTTGTATCTTTATAAATATACCAGAATACCCAGCATTCCTACCAACAACACTGCACATAATTGTATTCTAACACATAAGCACAACCAATATATTTTAAATGCTACCAGCAGCTTAAACATATGAGCACAAAGAAATCAATGACCTAAATCAGGCCATAGAATTTTGAATGTATTCTGTATTCACAATGACAATGCTTAGAATGGTTTTTGTTTTTTTCAATGGCACCTATGCTTGTATTGTGCTTCTATCAACCTATCCCCATAGGCACCATCAGTCTATGTAGATTGATCTAACTCTGCGGAGACTCTTGCTGAATGCAATCAGCCTAACTGAATCACAAACTTTCTCCTGGCATTGAGTAGATTACAAAACAAGTTGTTTTTTTTTGCATTCTGCTCCACATCAGGAACAGGTGTGTTTTAAAAGCTTATTGCCCTCAGCAAGAGTCCCGCAGAGTTGGATTGATCTACATATCTGTACTGATGGTTTCTATGGGAATGAGGTCTAAGGCATTTAGTTATAGCTGTCAATGCATAGTCTGAAACAATGGCTAGAATAAAACTACAACTGCAATAATGTACCATAGTGCATGTCTTCTGTGTGGTAATTATTCATAGACCATATTCAATACAGACTTTTATTTCAGACCGGTGGTCATAAATATTAATGTGATTGATGTGGCAGTGCGAGTATATGACAACAAAGCAATGACCAATACCGAGTACAAAGACAATTAAAGCTCAGTCTTAGGCTCTATTCCCATAGATTTTAGATCGATCTATCCCCGCGGGGAGTCTCACTAGATTACTTTCAGATAATCCGACTTAAATGTCCGTCCCACCTACTACAAGCTGTAAGGAGGTAATTAACTTTCGTCTCCGCCCGGCTGACAGCTATTTAGCGTGAACCCCCAGGGAGTTAGGTCGATCTAAAGTAGGTCGATCTAATCTATGGAAACGGGGTGATATATATTGTTTTTGATTAAATTTGAAATTGGTTCCATATCAATTATTTTCATAGAACCAGTCCAATGTGGTTTCTCGTCTCCTTATCAAAATCTTCTCATATTAAGGTTGACACATTAGCTGAACTTCCGTCTACTGATTTTTTTTCCACTGTGTAGTGCAGTTGTTTTATGACTTAACATTTGAAAACATTGAGGATTTTTGTTACAAAATCAAAGTCATCTATGTTTAGGTAGAAGGTATAAAATCATACCTTACTGAATTATGAGACTACAACTAATATTTTTCAAACATAATGTACACATGATGTACAGTACAATGTAGCAGTAATTTCTGGCAGCAAATGTGGAAAAGGGCATGCTTCTACACCCACTGAAGGCAGAGTAATAAATACTGCATTAGTAACTTACATGTTCTCAAAACAGCAGTATACTAGTAACAGTGCTGCACCTTGCACACAGGTAAAAGATGATGTAAGTTAAGCAGTTTTTTAATAACTTGTTTCCTAAACCCCTCCAACAACTCACAGCCAGGAATGGAGAACAGGGTACCAGACATGCTGAAAAGATTTCAGAATGACATTTCAACCGGCAGTAATGAAAAATTTGCCAGACCGAATGGTATTTTGTCGGACTGAAAATCACTCTATTCGTTTGAAACAGATACTACTAGTACGATTAGGGTAGCTTACTTTGTTTGTGAATGTGATAGGTTTGAAATAGAAGGGAAAAAACG